GCAACCTTCTTGCTGCGAGGCAACAGTGCTACCAACTGCGCCACCCTGCAGCCCTATATATACACTACTCACAATAAGTTAGGGATATTGTTATTTACATGAGTGCTTTTCCTATTTGGTCTGAATTTTAATGAAATAAGTAAAAGTTCCCTTTACACCCAGGCTCAGAACAATGAATTTTTATAGTTTTTTATAAAAGAGCTCGAAGGCTCTGTTCGGGTAAATTCTCCGAGAGGTGGCGGCTGATGCCCAGCAGCATACATGCTGCAAGCTGATCCGCTGCAGCCTGAAGCGCAGCAGGCCAGTGAAAAAACAAGTCAGGATCTGGCCAGAAGGTACATTCTCAACACTTCAAGACTGTTTTATTGACACTGACTGGTGTCAGGGTGCTGTGTCTGGAAAAAGGGGGCCCTGACTCCACCCATCTTGAAGCATCAAACCCGACAATCAGAGAGAGAGCCGGTCCTTCTCCTTCATCTGTCAGGCCAGCTTTCACCATCAACGTAGCAGACACATGGAGGAGCCTAGCCTGGGTCAACCCACGAAAAGCAACAGGACCAGACAACATCCTGGGATGTGTGCTCAGAGTCTGTGCTGACGAGTTGGCAGAAGTGCTGACTGACATTTTCAACATCTCCCTCAGTCAGGCCAGTGTCCCCAGATGCTTCAAAACATCCACCATAGTTCCAATGGCAAAGAAATCCCTTGTAGTCTGTTTGGATGACTATCGCCCCATCGCACTGACACCAATTGTGATGAAGTGTTTTGAACAGCTCGTCAAACCACACATCACAGCCAGCCTTCCTGCATCGCTTGACCCCCTTCAGTTCACTTACCGTCCCACCCGCTCCACAGAGGATGCAACATCCACCACTTGCACTCATCATCACCCACCTGGAAAATAAAGACACCTACACTAGAATCCTGTACATTGATTTCAGCTCAGCGTTTAATACCGTTATTCCCCAGAGACTAATAGAGAAACTCCTCCTACTCGGCCTGGATACCACCACGTCTCTGGGTCCCGGACTTTCTCACCGAAAGACCCCAGTCTGTCGGAGTCAGAAAGAACATCTCCAACTCCATCATGCTGGGCACTGGAACTCCTCAAGGCTGTGTACTCAGTCCACTGTTGTTCACACTACTAACACATGACTGTGCAGCCACACATGAGGGGATCCAGATCATCAAGTTTGCTGATGATACCACAGTCGTGGAACTAATTCGCAAGAACAAAGAATCAGTGTACAGAGATGAAGTGAAACACCTAGAGGGCTGGTGCAGTACGAACAACCTGTTGCTCAACATGGACATAACAAAGAAGATGATCATCAACTTCCAGAGGTCACATCCTGAGCATGCTCCTCTCAGCATCAGCAGCTGCACAGTGGAGAAAGTGGAGAACATCAAGTTCCTCGGAGTGCAGATCTCGCAGGACCTGAGCTGGAACAAGAACACCACAGTGATCATCACACAGTCCCACCAGAGACTACATTTCCTGAAGAAGCTAAAACAAGCCTCTCTCCCTGTCAGCATCCTCAGGACTTTTTACAGAGGTGTGGTGGAGAGCATTCTGACCTACTGCATCTCAACATGGTAATCCAACTGCAGTATATCAGACAGAAAAGCCCTGCAGAGGATAGTTAGAGGAGCTGAGAGGGTCATCAGAGTTTCCCTCACCTCTGTCCAAGAACTTTTCCAGAGCTGCTGCAGGAGCAGGGCACTGAACATTGTCAGGGACTCCTCACACCCTCTCCATGAACTGTTTGAACTACTACCATCAGGCAAACGTTTCCGAAGCATTAAAAGAGGAACCTCCAGAATGATCAACAGCTTCATTCCACAAGCTGTCAGAATGCTGAACTGCTGATCCAGATATGCAAACACTTCTTTATTTAAATTACTTTAAATTATTGAATCCTGAAGAAATGCTCTCTCATCTTGCCTGTACTACTGTGTATGTACAGCAAACGACTTGATTTGATTCTGATAACCTGCTGCGGAGCAGGTTAGCCATTCAGTGTAAGTTACCATGGCGATGTACCTGGGTAAGAAGTGAACCACCGTCGTAGGACTGAAAACCCAGGATTTAACCTTAAGCTACCTCGCTAACCCCAAATCCTGTTTTGTAGTACAGGCCCCTGGTGTGGTCACCATTTGCTTCACGCAGTGCAACACATCTCCTTCGCATAGAGTTGATCAGGTTGTTGATTGTGGGCTGTGGAATGTTGGTCCACTCCTCTTCAGTGGCAGTGAGAAGTTGCTGGATATTGGCAGGAACTGCAACATGCTGTCGTGCACGCCGATCCAGAGCATCCCAAACATGCTCAATGGGTGACATATCCGGTGAGTACGCTGGCCATGCAAGAACTGGAATGTTTTCAGCTTCCAGGAACTGTGTACAGATCTTTGCTACATGGGCCGTGCATTATTATGATGCAACACGAGGTGATGGTCGTGAATGAATGGCACAACAATGGGCCTCAGGATCTCATCACAGTATCTCTGTGCATTCGAAATGCCATCAATAAAATAACCCCACTGCTACCATGGGTTACTCAATTCACAACATTGACATCAGCAAACCTCTAACCCACATGACGCCATACACGCTGTCTGCCATCTGCCCTGTACAGTGAAAACCAGGATTAATCCGTGAAGAGAACACCTCTCCAAAGTGCCAGATGCCATCAAACATGAACATTTTCCCACTCAAGTCGGTTACAACGACAAACTGCAGTCAGAGGTTATATTTGTGGTTATATGAAACAAAATTGGAAGTAAACAAAAATTGGAAGTAAACAAAAACACTTTAAAAACACAGCACCTCAAGGATTTGCTGCCGCTCAAAAGGCATGTATTGGACCTTGCCTGGGCTGTATGACATGAATGTGACAATTACTTGATGAAGGAAAACATTTTATGCTAAAAGACAACTTCACGGCAAAGGAGGTGAGTATATACTCAAGTAACTAAGGTCTTAAAAAGTAATTCTAAGCTGAGGTTTATCTCCTAAGATCAGGACAACAATATAAAGTCAGACCTGAATTCAAGGGTAGTGTAGAGTCTATGGTAAGTGATAAT